CGTGAGCCCCCGGGGCCGTCATCTGGCGGCTTCTTCCGCCGCGCGCGCGGCTGGCCCCCGCACTAGTATTCTCTTAACGCCAGCTTGAATAGTAAGGGTCTAGTGAAAAAACAGGATTTGGTGTCCAAAATGGCTGATTTGGTGACTATAAAATGGTACTTTATCAATGGACAACTCAAAATCTAAATCATGCTCAACAGATGTTGCCTATGATAAATATGAAAATGTGTAAGTATTAACCACATCAAACATGAAATTCTAAATATAAGTTAGACTAAAATATTATTCAGTTGTTATAAAACAGTATTTTCAGTGTTTTGAAATAACATTTACTGGGACCAGCAGATGGTATATTGGTTACCTCACTTGACTCCCACGTAGTTGACCATGGCTCAAGTCCTGGACCCAGCAGCTTAAAATTATGCTGGGCATGAACGTGTGTGTGCCCAAAATCCTATGAGAAGAATGGAGGAGAAGGGCTTGTGGCAATGGTCATCTCCCCTGGGGGGGGGGTGATTTCTCGCTTTCTGTCTCTCTGTCACTGCAGCGAGTGCACGTGCTATATAGCAAAAATCTCTCTCTTAAAAAATAAAAAAATAAGTAACATTTACTAGCTAACAGTAGCTTAGAAACTTCAAACAACTTAACCACCCACCACCCTCAAAACTTGAAACCTGCCAACATTTCTGCCTGTTAACAAAAAAAATCTGCCAGTTTGGTGCAATGTAGCCCTAAATTATTTTTCTAATGGGAGTCATCTCTATGACATAATAGATTTGATTGACACTTATAAAAATAAACAATCTAAGATCTCAAGTAAAACATATTTATAGTTTTACCTAGAGTAAAGAATATGAATAATGCCAAAGAAACTAGACTATTTCTCAATGTGAAATTACCAGTTTAAGAGCTTAAACTGTAAACAGCACTCAACTGCCTACCAAATACTAGTTCACTGATTTCATTCATTTGATAAATGTTTATAAAACACTGTCAGGCACCAGAGATACACTGCTAAGCAAAAAATAAAGAAGACTTGGCCACTGGCTTCAGGGTAGACATAATTCTAAGATAGCTCCACAAATTCTTTCCTCCCAATATCCATCCATTTCTTCGTGTTATTCCTCCCTTGAACATGGATGGAACCTGACAGAATATGGCAAAGTTGATGGGAGAGACACTTCGGTGATTACTTTGTTACCTAAGACTGACATAGCCAACTGAAGACTCTAATCCAGAGAGATTTTCCTGCTGGCCTTGAAGATGCAAATAGCCATGTTAATAGGACTACGCATAGCAAGAGCTGAGAGTAGCCTCTTGCAGCTTGACATGGTCCCAGTCAGTAGCTAGTAAGAAAAGGCGGACCTAGGTCACATGGCCATAGCAAATGCTTCCACTAACAACCTGAGAGGACTAGAAAGGACATCTTTCCTACATTGAGCTTCTAGAGGAGGTGATGGCTGGTTGACACCTTAATCTCATCCCTTTGAGACTATGAGCAGAAAAGCCAGCCTAAGTCATGGCTCCTTAAGCCAAGAAATCTGCAATAATTTGTTATGCAGCAACAGAAAATGAATCCAGTATCGTGCAGCAAAACAAGCCTAGACCACTTCACATACAACACTTAAGGATCTCTACCACTCAGTTTCACTCACCTGTCCCTTCTTTTTCTCCCTTGGAGGCAAATTCTCAGACTACTCTGAACATGCTCTGGCCTTGGACAATGACAGTTCCTTTGCTTGAGATATGTCTTTTTGCCTCAATACAAACCATACTCTTCTAAGTCCAATTCAAGAATTTTATCTTCTACAGACTCTTCTCCAATTCCCAGGGTCCAAACTGTTTCAAAATGCTTTATTCCTACTTGCATTACAGTTCATCATATGAATATAATTTTTAGAGAACTGCCTATTTCAAATTTTGGAACCAACTCTAGATTAAGAAATGTGGTTACTTAATTAAAGTACAAAACTCTCTCTCCCCAAATCATTAGTGAAGTTGTTGAAGACCCCACTGACTGTAAGACAGAGGTTTTAAAGCAGTAGTTCGCAACTAGAAGTCCACTGTGTTCTCCAGGAGACATTTGGCAATGTCTGAAGACAGCTGTGGGTGTCACAAATGGGGACGGATGCATGCCAATAGCCAGGGATGCTGCTAAACACAGTACAGTGCACAGGACAGCACCCACAATAACGAACGATACCCCCCAGGGGACCAGCAGATGGCGTGGTGGTTAAGGTGCTGGACACTCCCACATGGCCGACCGCAGTTTGAGTCCCAGACCTGGTGGCTTGTCTTCTCACTTTCTCTATCTGTGTCTCTGGTCAAATGAAAATAAATGAACAAATAAATAAATATAAAAAAAAAAGAATGATACCCCCTGTCAGTACCAATAATGCCCAGAGTGACAAAGCCTGCAGTAAAGTGTCACTTGAAGCCTCTACATTGGTGCTCATTTCCAACTCCCTTGGAAGTGATTCATTTGTACTGAGACTATACTATAGAACTTTGCTACTAAAAATCTATGTTCAAACCTTCCAAGGTCTAAATTATGTCCAAACAAAATTTTTCTGAAACTTCAACCTACCCTCAAGAGAACCAAAGCTCAAATGACTAAGATAAAGACAAGATGCATTCCCTCAAACTTATCCCTGGGTCTGAAAAGCCTTTTTTACATAACTACCTCCTATTATTTAAAACTCAGTTCGATGTCAATTCTTCAGGAAAGCCTCCTAAATCCCTTAGCCCAGGTTGCTATTGTGATCTTTGTGTTCCCATTGCATTTTGTCCCTAATTCTACCAAATAATTTATACAGCATGTTGCCTGTTAGTAACAGACACTGTTTGTAAATTATTAATTCAAAAAATACTTATTCAATGCGGACTATATTATAGGCACTGTTCTATATGCAGAGTACAGCAGAAAACAAAAGCCCTGCTCTCACAGAATGCACATTCTAATGAGGGAGAAACAAACAAAATAGAGAAATACAGGCTTATTTAGAAACCCTATGGAGAACGACAGCACAAACAGAACTGAGTAGAGCCTGTAAATAAAGTCAAGGAAAGGCTCACGACTGCTGGCTTAACACCTAAAGGAGAGGAAAGGTAAGACACATGTGGGCACTTGTGGGAAGGGCATCACTCAGCTGAGAGGAGCATGCCTGACCCTGTCCAAGCAGCAGCAAGAATCCCAGCAAGGGAGCAAGCGGTAGGGGATAAGGTCTAGAAGAGTAGGAAAACCGTGTAGTGCCTTGCAGACCACGCCAAGTCCTTTCATTTTGACTTCAAGTGAAATGGTGAGTCATTGGAGAGTGTGAGAACAGCCACTGGATTTAACACACATTTATTTATTTTAAAAAATTATTTCAAGGATCAGCAGATGGCATAATGGTTACGCTGCTGGACTCCCACGTATTTGACCACAGTTGGAGGCCCAGACCTGACAGCTTAAAATTCATGTCAGATGTGTTTGTGTGCATGCCTAAAATCCTTAGAAGAGAATGGAGGAGAAGGGATCATGAGTGTGGCATCCCTCCTGAGAGGTGATT